TGGCCGAGAGAGGGGCATCCTCACCAAGGGACGCTCGCTTTGTAGGGCTTTCCAAGTCTGCATCATCATCTTCAGGTACGCATGGAGCCGCATGAACGGGGCTGCCAATTCCATGCCCTTCGTCATCTCTTTTCCTTTTTTCCTGCTTGACATCCATGTCTTCTTGTTCTTCGTCACCCTCCGCAATCTCGGTGGGGGAGGGGACATCGAGCATCGGAACATCAACAGGTTCGGCCATGATGATCACGAAGGGCAAGAGGAGAAAGGGGAAAGGCCAGACAATGTCACCCCTTTTGCACGTCACCAGGTTCAAGTCAAGAGCCCAAACACGACCCCAGACAACGATGGCAAGCCTTCACCCCGGGCAGAATCACGTAAACCGCAAAGAGCAGCTGGCCGCCACTTCACCCCGAAGAAGGGCAGAATCCGGTAGAAGACAAAGAGCCTCTGGCCGCCGCTTCACGGTCGTAAATGGCAGAATCAGGTGGAAGACGAAGTGCCCCTGGCCGCCGTTTCTCCGTGCACACGGGCAGAAGCAGGTAGATGCGGACCGTCGGCAGAACGCCCACCCTCTTCCCACACCCACCGAAGCACTCGACCGGCAGCCTTTCGTCCTGGCACAAAGGAGAGGTTATGTCCTGGCGGGGCGAGGCAGAGAGGGACTGGGGGCAGGCACGAAAGAGGTCTCGAGCATATGGCTTGAGCCGTAGCCAGGGATTAGGGTTTAGGGTTTAGGGTTTAGGGTCACCTCTTCTCCTGGTGACCCTAAACCCGAAAACCCTAACCCTGAGCTCTGTCTTGTGCTTCGCCTTGCATTTCCCTTTTCTTCACCTTATTGGGGCCTGTAGAAGCAAAGACCAACCCTAAACCCTAAACCCCAAACCCTAAACCCTAAGCCCTAAACCCTAAACCCAAAACCCCAAACTCTAAACCCCAAACCCTAAACCCTAAGCTATTACTGCAGACTTAGAGAAACCCCGAAGCGGCCCTCACCCTTGAGACACTTTCAGCAGCTCCTCTAAACCCAAAACCCCCAAACCCTAAACTCTAAACTCATAAACCCTAAACCCTAAACTCTAACCCCTAAACTCAACACTCATAAACCCTAAACTCTAAACCCATAAACCCTAAACCCCTAAACCCCAAAACCCTTTTTACAAGGAAACACGAGCCAAGCCCTGGAAAAAAACAGCTTGCGTCCTTGCAAGCCACGAGCCTTAGGGTTCCTCAAAGGTTTGGGTGGGTATCGGGGGTTTAGGGTTTAGGGCTTAGGGCTTTAGGGCTTAGGGTTTAGGGCCTTAGGGCTTTAGGGGTATCGGGGGTTGAGGGTTTAGGGCTTAGGGCTTTAGGGCTTAGGGTTTAAGGCTTTAGGGCTTTAGGGGTTTAGGGGTTTAGGGGTTTAGGGGTTTAGGGCTTTAGGGCTTTAGGGGTTTAGGAGTTTATGAGTTTAGGGGTTTAGGGTTTCACTGCTGATATGCCCTGGGATCAGCTGTGGGCCGCGCCGCGTCCTCTGCTACGGCAGGGTAGCGAGGCACGATCGGATCGATCCTGATCTGCAAAGGCGTTGGCACAAAGGGGTGTAGAGCTTCTTTAAGCAAATCGCGCTATGTCCCAAATTTGTGCATCCTGAAGCTTGGTATGTATGTGTATATGTAATATACATTCATGCATTTATTTATTTATTTATCTATATATATGTGTGTTTATAATATAAGTATATACACGCTTATCTATAACCTTACTATTTTTGTAGTCATAGTTTTAGGTGTGGTTATAGTTATAGAAACCCTAAACCCTAACCCTTAAACCCTAAACCCTAATTGTAGGTGTAAAGGTTGAGGACCGAGCTCAGGACCTTCGGACTCGAAGCTTCCGAGAGAAGCAGAAGCCCCAAACGCCAAGGGGTTGAAAAACCTTCTGTCTGGTGCTTAGTAGGGAATGGGCGGATGTGTCATAGGGACTACTATAAGGGACCTTAAGGGACTATCATAGGGATCCATTCCCCCATTCCCTACTAAGCACCAGACAGCCTTACATTATGGCGGCTACACGGTGCTTTTAAGTATAATGTAGAATGATACCTAAGCCCTAAACCCTAGATAATAATGTAGAATGACATGCAGCCAGAAAGTCTAAGAAGACGGAGCCCCAAACCTTAAAACCCTTGCACAACAACCCTACAGTTAAAGGAAACTACAGGTGGGGAGTTTGGTCTATATAGGGCTTCTATAAGGCTTCCATAAGGTATATAGACCTTCTGTAAGGCTCCTACAACGGTAACTACCCACCTGAAAATGTCCTACATACAGCATCCCGATCAAAACCTTGCAGAAGCCCTGAAAGCCCCTAAATCCCGCAAGCCCAAACCTCAAGAAAAGACGCTCCTTAAATCCTAAACCCTGAACCCTAAACCCTAAACTCCCAAAGACCTAAGAGTCCACCCGAGGTCTACGCTTCTGCTTGTTGATGGCCCAGATCTTATCCCACTCCATCATGTTCGTGGCCTGCCGGGTGGAGGATCTAGGTTCGTTGCAAGCTGTGAGGTCTTGGGGGCGTTTCGGGCTTTGTAGGGCTTATAGGGTTTGGGCTTTTGGGGCTTAGAGCTTAGGGTTTTGGGCTTATAGGGTTTAGGGCTTAGGGCTTATAGAGCTTGGGTGTCGAGTTTGTAAGGTTTAGGGTTTAGGGTTCAGGGTTCAGGGTTTAGGATTGTAAAGTCTTGAAGGGCAGAAGCCACACTCCCCCAAAATTCCTCAGCTGGTCGTTCAGACATGGGGCTCTCGAAACTCTTCCGGGAAGTCACTGAGACCCTAAACCCTAAACCCAAGCCTAAACCCTAAACCCTAAACCCTAAACCCTAAACCCTAAACCCTAAACCCTAAACCCTAAACCCTAAATCCTCAAGGCTGAACCCTAACAGAGCACCAAGAGACACAAGTCATGAGCCG